AAGTTCACGACAATAACTCAGTGTAGAGCATATATTATCTTTATGACTATATAAAAAAAAATTAAACCTTAAAGGATCCATTTATCTATCTATTTTAATGAAATGACTAATGAGTAACTGGGATAAATTTTATATTTCGATAATTTTTTGTAACAAGATTTTCAATTTTCAATTAACATAATTATTTTTGGTATAGACGTGAATAACACTTAATATTTCAGCCAGTTGATCTTGTATTGAAATAAGTTTTTAGAGGAACCTAGGATGTACCTACTGAAATACACATTTAGTGATATTATCAAATTTTTAACACTTTCGGCGCGCTCATATGCAATAGGTAAGTACAACATGTATTTTTTTAAATTGTTAAATTATAGTTTAAAATCCATATTTTTAGCACAGATTTTTTTAAGTCAATTTCATATTTTGATTTGGTCCTAAATTCAAAGCAATTTGAACTTATTAAATTTCATTATAATTCATAAAATTCTAGTATGATTGGTGAAAAATTCAATAATTTTAATCGAAACTTTGACTGGTTGCCATTTAGTCAATTTTGATTTTAGAGCTATGGTAAAAAGGACCAAATTGACTTAAAAAAATTCGGTCTATCCGAATTTGGTATTCAAAACACCTGTTGCCATTTAAAAAAATGCAAGTTGTATTGCGCATGCGCACACGAAAAGATCTAAAACTTTAAAAATCATTAAGAAATGTGTATTTATGTATTCCCTATCCCCTCCTAAAAACCGCATATTAATCCGATGTCAATGGACAGAATTATTTAGTGTTACCTTTAAAAGGAAACACACTGTACCTATATAATATATATATTAGTTGAATTATTTATTTTTAATAACAAATCAGTTATGGTCATCATCCATCAATCATCACTTATTAATTATTATAAACAATAAACACCTAATCCAAACATTAATAATTAACATTCAAAATGTATAGTAAATTTTCGATTCTGCTTATTTATTATTATATGAATAATATAATTTATAAATAATACCTATAGCTACTGCTTATGTGTAAAAGAGAATTTTATTTGTTTGTTGTTAATATCTTTCAGCTATAATTAAGTATTTTTAGATTCTGAGCGGAGCGATGAATGTATTGGTTTTACAATGATGTATGTTTTTATATTTTTATTTATATTTTTATATTTTAGATTCTGAGTGAAACGATGAATGTATTGATTTTACAATGATGTGTGTTTTTTTATTTTTTTTTTTATTTTTTTTTTTATTTTTTTTTTATTTTTTTATTTTTGTGTCTGTCATCACGTTTTAGGACAGTAAAAGTGCTTGGATTTTCTTCATCAGTAGCTTTTCTGATAGGAAAGTGAATCTAGTTGGTACTTTGGGGGGTCAAAAGTATAAATTTCCCAGTAGTTTTCACAAGCGCCGGGAAAAACAACATAAAAATTAAGGAAAAACGGGAATTTTTACGCAAAATTGGTTTTCCAAAAAATCGATTTTGGTTTTTGGTGTAACTCTGAAACAAATGAACGTATATACATGAAATTTTCACTGGTTGTTTATATTTGCATTTTCTATACACGATAACATTTTCAAAATATTTTGATTTATTTTGAACTGTTTAAGGACATTTTCATTTTCCATATTTTTTTAGTTTTTTTTCTAAAAATATCAATAAAATTTTATTTGTTGGTTGCGAAAGCTTGAAAATTTAATAGAAGGCTCCTAATATATTGTTTCAAAGGCAGATGAAAAATATTAAAAATCCTTAGTCACAATTTTTTTTTATAAGCATTTAAAATTCAAAAATTTACAAAATATGGGAAAATCACGAAAATTAGCAAATTATTTAGAGTTAAGAATTCGTAAAAATTTTTCTTTTTAAATCTAAGATTTGAAAATTAAACACAAGATTCCTTATAAGTTTGTCTACCTTTATCAAAAGAAAAATGTCTATAAGAAAGTCAAATTAAATTTTTATGAGCGTTTGAAATTCAAATTTTTACAACATTGAATATTCACTCGATTTCCTTATTTTGTTGTAATTCAAAAACGAATAACTGTAGATACATGAAAATTTCACTGAATGTTTATATTAGCATTTCCTACACACCATACAATTTTGAAAATATTTTGACTCTTTATTTGAGCTGTTTATGGACATTTACAGCTTTCAATTTTTTTTAGTTTTTTTTTCTATAAATATCAATAAAGTTTTATCTGTTGGGCCAAAAAGTATAAAAATTTAATACAAGGCTCCTGATATATTGTTACAATATCAGTTGAAAAATATTAAAAATACATAGGCACGATTTTTTTTTATAAGCATTTAAAGTTGGAATTTTGACAAAATTTATCAAAATCTCGAAAATTATCAATCGTTGGAATTAAAAAATTATAAAATGTTCAGTTTTTATAACTAAGAGTTGAAAATTTAAAACAAAGATTCTCTTAAATAATTCATACTGTAACCAAAAAATCTAAAAAATATATAAACACACTTATTTTTTACAGACATTTTAATTTCAAATTTAGACAAAATTTCATATTTAAACCAAGAATTACGATTTTAGTTATTTTGTTGTGATTGAATAATACTATTCGTGGGTACTTGAAACTTCTAAAGTGTACTATTATATATCTATGATAGTATCACGGTTTTTGTTGATGTATAACGCGTTATAAGTATCTAATGGATATTGTGATATGATTAATTTGGAATTTATTATAGGTACCTATTATAGGTCAATTTTTGTTTAATACCATAGATATGTATATAATATGCCTTATACATAGACTGACATACCATCACCGCTCAGAATCGTTTTTCTTATACAATGATATTATATCATTGAATTCAAATTTAATACCATCCATTATACAGTGACCCACTTGTAACCTACTGTACAGCAGAGCGACACCCACTTGCCCACCTTTTTTTAATTTATCATTATGACTTATTTTGACCTGTTTACGGACATTTTCAGTTTCCATTTTTTTAAATTTTTTTTTTCTAAAAATATCAATAAAATTTTATTTGTTGTTAAAAAAGCTTGAAAATTTAATAGAAGGCTCATAGTATATTGTTTCAGAGGCAGATGAAAAAAATTAAAAATCCATAGTCAGGATTTTTTTTATAAGCATTTAAAGTTCAAATATTGTCAAAGTACGTAAAATTCACGAAAATGTGCAAATTATTTTGAGTTAGAAATTCATAAAAATCTTTCTATTTAAATCTAAGATTAGAAAATGTAATACAAGATTTCTCATACGATTGTCTAACTTTACCAAAAAAAAAAAATGTCTTCAAGCAAATCAAATTAAATTTTTATGAGCGTTCGAAGTTCATATTTTTACAATATTGGATATTCACTCGATTTCTCGTGTAGGGCGTGTAGCGGTTTTGTTATTTTATTGTTAATCAAAAATGGATAACTGTATACACATGAAAATTGTACAGAATGTTTTTATTAGCATTTCCTATACCTGGGTATACAATTTTGAAAATATTTTGACTCTTTTTGAGCTGTTTACGAACATTTTCAGTTTTCATTTTTTTTAGCTTTCATTTTCTATAAATATCAGTAAAATTGTATTTGTTGGGTAAAAAGCGTGAAAATTTAATTTTAAGGCTCTTGATATATTGTTACAATAGCAGTTGAGAAATATTAAAAATACATAGGCACAATTTTTTTATAAGTATTTCGAATTTTGACAAAATTTATCAAATTTAAAATATAATATTTATTTTGTAAGGTAGGTATTAAAAATTGATAAAATGTTCAACTTCTATAGCTAAGAATTGAAAATTTAAAACAAGGTTCCACATAAATGGGTTATATATAAATTACTTTATTCTCAATAACATCATCAAATATACTTCATAATTTCATAGACAGTCTTCGTGAATCGTTTTTCTTATACAATGATATTATGTCATTGAATTCAAATTTAACACCATCGATTGCAGTGACCCACTTGTAACCTACTGTACAGCAGAGCGACATTCACTTACCCAACTTTTTTAACTGCATATTTGGTATTATAATACTTAAACTTATCAATTGTATGATGTCCGTAAAACTATATATAATTTTATATTTACCTGAACATATAATTCTAGGGCTTCAACTATGGCTTCTGACTAACATACTTCTGGTACCTACTAGATTGGAAATTAATTGTTTTGAAATTTAAAAAATATATTAAACTTGTTTATGAATCACCCGTGACCAAAAAACGTCATATTTTGGATTACTGCACATTAGTGGAGATTGTTTCTTTCAGATGAGTTAGGTATATACTTATATCCTTCCCAATTCGGGGACTAATAATTCAAGCAATGCCTCGATATCTGTTGGAATTCTTATACAATTTTTGGATCCTGAATGTTCCATAGTCTTAACTCTTAAGAAATTTAGTAAACAATTCCATTATAACGACATCTACTTTCAAAAATTGATTGTCGCCGGCAAAATCTTTTACGAATCATTTACTTTTTTCACTCGAGAAATCAACACCGTGAAAACAATAGCTGTACTATTAATTATTATGTTTTTGTCGCTCATATAAAAAAAAATTTTAATTAAAATATTCAGAAAAACTAATAATTATACGTTCATACCACATTAGATTTACATGTACTAACAAGAAAATAAATAATACGAGCGGTAAATATTTTGTGGAAGTTGAACAAACACCTTTGTCACACATTTCAAAGCACATTGCACATTAGCGCTGTTTTTTCGGTCATGAAACATTTTATAACAAATATGTTAAACGACAATGTTTTTCCTAGTATGAAGTATGAACCCATATTTATAGCAGAATTATTAACCGCAGACTAAACATGGAAATTAACTGGTATTAACATCTGAACACTCAACATAAAATCCTCATAGGTACTTCCAAGTTTATATTGCACAAAGTAGTAAAACACAAAATATAAACAATAAATAATAGTATAATGAAAATAAACCAAAGTAATAGACAATTTTACTATATTTGTATTGATTACGGTACTTCTGCTAAGAATTCTTTCTCAAACTGACTTCCGGCAATGAAAATCAAAAACACTGGTGTTCCATTGTCAATTGGACACCTAAAAAAATGTATAAACAATTTAGATACATATACAATGCATAAACAACTTTACATTTAAATATACAAAGAAATTATATAGGTCACAACTGTTAATAAAAGCTGATAACATTTTTAACAATTTAATTGGAACAATGAGTATTGAGTATACAATAAATTATAAAATTATAAATCTCCAGTAACATTTTTCATTTGTTTTATGTAAGTACATACTTATATTTTATTTTACATTACCAGGATTTTTCTTATATCAATAATGATAGATGATACTGTGGTCCTAAAATACTATTTATAATAAGTATACATCTTAACACAAATCATTCCAACAAGACAAAATTTAAAATATTTCAAAATTAATGAAAACTTCTCTGTGCAGACACACAGTAATACAGGCTGTAACAGGGATACCTGACAAATGAAATAACTTTTGTTTGAATAAATATTTAAATTTTTTTTTTTTAAATATATGATTCATTGACTACTATTGTACTACACAAATATAATATAACATTTTTCATTTTCATTTTTATAAACTGAAAATAAAAAATAAATATAGCCAATTTGTAAGTTTGGATTGAATACATTGATACATTTGATTGTATTCATCTAAGTCAAATGGTTTAATTTTTATGATTTTTTAATATCTCAACATTTTGAAATGTAATAATTTTTTTAAAAAATATTTAGATTTTGACAAGTATCTATTTAAAAATTCTAGTAAAATATTTAAAAAAATGTTAAGTGCTTAACAATAATAATGTGATTTCAAAACTGTTAAAAAATAAACTATAATAGACTTAAATAAATGTTTTTACAATCAAAAATTTTCTAATATTTCTAATAACCTTTACAATAGGTAAATATAATTGATATTATCATAACAGGCTACACAAAAAAAATATACTCTGATATAAAAGCCAGTTTTAAATATAAACAATTTGTTTAATGTTTACTTCTGTATTATTAAATATAAAATAAATAGCAAAAGAATATTATCCATACATTTACAAAAAGATTGTCTATAACATGAAAGGGCATTAATTTGCATATTTGTTTTTTAATAGTGTTACCAAATATGAGTATGCTATCTGATAAAGATTTCTTTCTTATTATTACCTCAGTAATGTCAATGCTTCAAACAATGTGCATGATTTTGCATCTATTTTTGTAACTTTTGTGCCAGCCTTGTGTTCATTTACAATTTCAAAATAAACATTTACAACATCCGCATTGTATTTTCCATCAATATCCCATTCTGGTCTTTCAGAAAACATTTCTATTAAATGAATATAAAACCTAAACAAATATATTCCAACAATGATTACAAAGAACTGGGTAAGTAAATAAATTATAAACCGACTACAAGATTTATATAATGCAATTACCTACAACTATTGAACTATCTAAAACAAATTAATACTAGAAAAATTCTTTAAAAAGCATTTACCTAATTTTCACAAGATAAACTACATTATTAAGTTAAAATTATGTAATTCATTTTTCATTTATTACTTTGTTATAAAAATAAATTAAGAAATCTTACAGGAGTATTAGCAGTTGTTTTATAAACAATAAAAAATAGATAGAAAGATAAACATGATATATTAACAATTTTTAAATATTATTTAGGTAATTCACAAAAGAAAAAATTGTAAATAGTATTGTTTTAGTATAAAAAAATTATTCAAGCCACATAAAATAACCAACAAGTAAATTATAGATTGAAATGTTGTAGATTTTTGAATCAGAGGTTAATGAAATAACTTATGATATGATTATTTTAATGTAATATATCTCCCTAGCTCTTTAATAAGCACTTAAACATTTAAATAATTCACTGTTTCTTAATCTTTTTAAACATTTTAATTTGTAATTGTTCTGAATTGTATTATTCAATATACCAACAATACTGTAGGAACATAATTAATATCCAATTTTTAGAAATACTATTAAAATAAAAAATACATCATAAAAACAATATAAATAAAAAATAAATTATTATAATTAAACAATTTTGTTAGGTAAGATAAAAAAATATATAATACTACACTATTTAGTATTTTAATAAATTTTAGTTGGATATTTTTGCTACTTTAAATATATTAAAAAGTAATAAAGTATAAGTGTATAAGTAAAAATATACTGACGTAGAATCTTCATAAAACTCTTGGATCATATCAGAAGTTTTATACTCAGGATATAAAAAAACAACTGGCCACACAAGACGATTTTCGACTAAATGTACTGGCTGTACTAAACCAGGCACTCTTGGATCAAGTATTGCTAATTCTTTAATCGGACCATCTAAGGTGTAATCATCAACAAATAAATATAGTTAATTATCATAATATACCTATGAACAATACATAATTAAAACTTGAGCACACGTTTCATGGTCTAAAAGACCGGGCATTTAGAAACTTTGAGTTTGTTGATAGACTAAAATTATAGACGCTTCCAACTATATATGATCTGATGTCCGTAATATAGAAGTGTTCAAAGTGCATTACAAGACATTACCTATTAATATAAGGTCAAAAAAACCATATTCATGATTGTAAAAAATCAATTATGGGTTATTTTTAAATTGTTTTTCTAATAATTGCTGTTCGATAAACAAAATTGATAGTTATGATATTTTCATTGTGACTGTTAATATTATTGCTAGTTGACTATGATTTTCGCCATACTATATGTAACTAAAAAGACTGCGTCAGTGTCAGTGGCGTATATTGGGGGTGGGAACAGTGGGCTGCAGCCCCCCCCCCAAAAAAAAAATCAGTCTTTTTAAATAGAACAACAATATATTTTATTAGGTACTATTATAAGTTATAATATTTCATAGCATGTTGAAAAATAACAAATATGAATATATTTATAGAAACTGTTAAATATATAGTAGACTGTAGCCCAGTAATAGATCACTTGCTAGTTTCTGTCCACTATAGCTCACCCCAAAAATTATTTCTATATACGCCACTGGTGAGTGTATTCTCACAAATATTTTAAATGCGTGATGTAGGGTTAAATATTACTAAGTATATTTACCTTTTTTGCCAATTATGTGCAACTGTCTTTTATTAAGCTCAAATAACAACCTTGCTTGATCCGCTTCCTTTTGTTTTTGAATCTTTGTAACTTTTCTTTTTTCCATCTCCATGATTTTCTAATCAATTTATAAACACTTTAATAAATAATGATATTAGTCTTAACTCTTAATTACACAAATTTACTTTAGATTTGATTGCTTCTTTTTTTATTTTTATAACATTATTATCCTCTGGTACAAATTCCAAATATTTATCACAAAAATCTAAACATTTATCAAACTCTTTCAACTGAATGCAACAATTTATTGCCCTTAATATGGTTTTTTCATAGTCTGCTTTCAATTTGAGAGCTTGTTCAGCAGCTGTCAAACTTGATCTAAACATATCATAAAAGAAATATAATATATTTAAATTACGTTAATTAAACACTCATTTTTTTAAAATACCTAAAATTTTTTAAAAAATAATGTGAAGCAGACATATTATTGAACATTTGAGCACGGAGTTCATTATTTTGAAAATCTAGTTTAAGGCCTTCTTGATATGACATTATGGCCAATTTATATTTACGACACTTAAAATTAAAATTTCCGTCATCCTTATGTTTAGTGGCCAACTCTTCGGGAGTGTTATCATCTGGATCATACCGAAGATTTTGCAAGCCCTCGACTAAGGGGGATGGTTGATCTTCTGGTTCAGGAGGCTTAGTCATAAAAAATGGGTGCTTTTCCATTTCCTATAGAAAAATCAAAACAACACTAAATTAAAAATATGATTAAAAGATAATCAAAAGTATTAATTAAACTAGATATTTATATAAATTAGAATAACAATTTATAATTATTACCTCACGCCAAGTCTCTTCTTTCCAACCATCTTTATATGGTGTTTTCTGTAGATTGTCTATAAAATTATCTAAATCTTCATCAAGACGTTTAGCAAGTTGTTCACGTTCCTCATCTGTCACTGGTTGCTTGGAGTCACCCGATCCTCTAAGAAAAATTTTATTGATAAAATTACAAAGTATATTATATGAATAATAATAAATCAGGGTGTGGAACTTCAGGCATTTGCTAATTTTTTTAGATTAACATAAAATCTAGCAGAGTGCTCTGGAGAAATAAGTTTCATGTCACAAAATGACATTTTCAAATGTAAAGGGATTATTTTTTATAATTTTGGAGGTTTTAGGAACAAATTGCTTTTTTCTAATTTTATCTAATTTTTTGCAAATGCCAATTTTATAACAAAATGGACCAAATAAGATTTACCTTATTTTTTGATTTTTTTAGAGTTAAGAGGTTACTATTTTTAAAATTTACTTTTTAGTTTATTTTTAATTTTAATGCTTTATATGCTAATTGGAGTTCTTTTTTTAACAATTATAAGTGCTATAAGTACCGAACCCAGGTAATAATAAATAAATATTATGACCATCCAAAATACACACAATATATTATAACATAAGTAATTATCTTATAACAGACAATTTATTATAATAAGCATACTTACAGTATGTTTTCCATTTTCGTTGTGAAAGAAAATGTAATGTCTATAAAATGTGTTTTAGATAGTAAGACATTCAAAAAACAAAATATTTCATCTTTAAGTAAAAAATAACAGTGTTTCACAAAAACTTTAAATAAATTGAAAATGTGTTATGAATTTTTTATTATTTATTATTATTGACTTGCGATGTTATCGAATATCGGATACAGGATAGCTGTTATCAGAAAATTGATAAGGAAAGATATACAATAATTTTGGCATTAAAAGTGTGACCAACGTAAAGACAATGTGCTTGTGCCATCATTAATGCTTGTCCATTAGCTAACTCATATCGCTCATGTCTTGAGAGTCATATGGTCGAGTAAGGTCACCAACCACGAGCCGAGACCCAACAGGGTCGGAGAGTAGTGGATATTAATTATTGGATATATTTTCTACATATTTTTTAAATTTTCTTTTTTTTGATTAAAATTTCTGTATAACTTCTCACCAAAGTTGTTGGTGCTCTTAAAATTATAAATCACCTACCTATATGATTAAATATACAATTATATGTATGCATAAGTGCTAATAACCAAGATTCAAAACAAAAAGTTAACGTTTGAAATTAGAAAATGTAATCTGTATTTTATTCATCCAAGTCATGGATTTATCTATTTATTTATTTTGATGTCAAATTTCAGATAGGTAACCGCTCGGCCTCTGCTGTATACTGTTTAGTAGGAATGTAGGAGTCGAATGGACACAATTACATTAAAAATAATAACACAATAAATAGGTACCTGAACAATAAAAAAAATATTTGGTAGGTATCTAATGAGTAAGAGTAATGGCTTAATTTAATATAGATCTACAATTATAATTACCATATATTTATATTATACAATTAATACCTACATTATGGTTTAAACATAATTAACATGTGGTTCATAAAATCATCTTAAGCTAAAATATAACACGTATATATACATAATAATAAATAATATATTGAGTTGTAACTTGTAAGTTATGATTTATAATTATAGATTGTTTTATATTGAGTCATTAGGTAGTTAATGATGTATAGTACAGTTAAAAAACATCACTCTTAGGTATATACGACATTTATACAAAAATGACACAACTTTAAAAATAATAATTTAATAAGTCGATACTAAACAGTTGATACCTATAATTAGTTAATGAAAAAATGGTTTCTTATTGCTTGGATTTATATTTTTTGGACAAAATGTTTAGATCCATTTATACTACTATTACCTGTTCACTGCAGGGAGGCAACTATAGTAATAGACCCTTTTCGTTTAAGATAACATTTAGGGTACGTAAGGACTAAAGAGGAAACTATCAGGGACGGATCCAGGGGGGCCTAAGTGTCCAGGCCCAGGACACATTTTTTATAAATATTAATATAATTTATTAAATAACAAATAAACAAAATTTAAACTTCTTTTCACATTGTGGCTTTAAATGTTAAATAATCAATAAATTATTTATCACATTGATTGCATACACCTACCTACTATTATGACAACCCTTTTAAATTAAGAATAAAGTAAAATATTTTATTATAATTGTATTTGTGTTGTAAAAAAATTATTGCCTCCCCCCCTTAGATCTTTCAGATCTTTGTTCATGATCTATGCCTGCAACTCATATATGGTCTGGAGGGTAATTACTGGCCTATTATTGACTTTTTTGAGTTCGAGCGGCAACAAGTATGCGCCCAAATGTCAAGTACCCATCTTATATAATATTATTCATTTTGAGCTACACACAATTATTATCCGTGGGTACTTGAAACTTTTAAAGTAGGTACCCTATATTATTGTATTTTAATATTTTATACAAACAATGAAGTTACGTTTTCAAATTCAATGTTATCGGCAAACATTAATTCAACCACTGCTGTATTACTAATAATTATTTTAATAGTAATAATATCATAAAATAGACTTACGTAAAGGTGACTGTCTACAGACCGTCTTCGCTCAGAATCGTTTTTCGTACACAAAGATTTTATATAAATTAATTCAAATTTAACATATTAAAAACTACGTGACATTGTAGATTATATTCTTACCATAAGACTATCTAATTTTAATATTTAAATTTTATAGTAGGTAGACAATTCGAAAATGTACTCTCATGTTATTATTCTTATCGTATATTTAAATTTAAAAAACTAAATAATTACATTTTTTTCCAAAAAAAAAAAAAAAATTAGAGATGGAGTTTAATATTAAAGATTTGTTTATATTTTAGTAAACAATTGAATTTTCAGGGGGCTATTAGAAGTTTGAGGGGCTGAGCCCCCCTATTTTCGCTCATGCAGTAGAAAAATATTAAAAATATATATGCATATGTTTTTTTTATAAGCATTTAAAATTTTATTTTTGACAGCATTTATCACATTTAAAGAATAAAAAAAAAGTGGGCCCACTGAAGTGGGTGTCGCTCTGCTGTACAGTAGGTTACAAGTGGGTCACTGTAATGGATGGTGTTGAATTTGAATTCAATGACATAATAATATAATATTGTATAAAAAAAACGATTCTGATTTCTGAGCGAAGACGATAGTCAGTCTATGGTATTACTAGAATATTACTAGTGTATTTGATGATATTATTGTGAACAAAGTAATTAATATATAACCTATTCACGTCGGGCCTTGTTTTAAATTTTCAATCCTTAGATATAAAAGTTGAACATTTCATACATTTTCGACTGCAAAATTCCCGTTTTTTCTTAATTTGAATGTTGTTTTTCCCGGCACGTTTAAAACTATTGAGAATTTGACCTCCCGAATGCATCAACTAGTGTCACTTTCCCATTTTTTTTTTATGTTTTTTAGTAATCTTAGAGTAAAGTCACCCACTTGAAAAACTATAGAGAATAATATTTTTGAAGGTATGAAACTATGGAATATCCATTTGTCTAAATATTGTCTCAAAACAATTTAACTAAACAATACAAAGTCAAATAATAATAAAATAATATAAAACCAATATGTCATTCCCTAAAAAATATTTACCCTTTATAAATTTTGTAATTGTAATAGACGATTTTACTCTAAGATTACCTACACAAAAAACATATAAAAACGATTTTAGGTGAAAGCGTTTTATCTGTGGTGCTATTGGGTCTGAGGACTGAGAGAGAAAACAAATATAGCTCGCTGACTTCCTCTTAATCACGATTAAAGATAGTTCTATCTTTAATCGTGCTCTTAATCATAAACATGTGTTACATAATTGAAAATATAATAAAATACCAATTTTACAATAATAAATTGTAATGTGAGAATTTCGGATTAACAGCTGAGTACACGATATTCATTATACCTATAGGCTTTCACTATAAACTGTATGATCATTATAGTGGGTCAGTAGCAATATTTTTGCTTATTTGCTTGAAATGTACTATAAAAATATAAAAATACAAAATAAAATTGCATATTATCAATTTAATAGAGACGACATCATAAAGAAGCGTCCTATACGTCATATCTTTATGTACAGAATATAATCATCTATATAATCATCATCCATCAAACTATGGGCGCATGTAAACTCCACCGATTGCGACCTTTTTAGACCTTTTTTCATGTAAACTCCACCGGTACGTTTTTTTTACCTGAAAAAAAAAATGTAAACTCCACCGGTACATTTTTTTTACCTGAAAAAAAAATGTAAACTCCACCGATACGTATTTTTGACCTGAAAACACGTATAATTATTAATAATAATTAACAATCATTTTTAAAAAAAAATCATATAAAAATCAAATAGCAAAAATAGAAAATTGAAAAATATATAATTATTAATTAACAATAATTTAAAAAAAAAATCATATAAAAATCAAATAGAAAAAAATAGAAAAATCTATAATTATTAACATTACGTTATAGGTAATACGTTCCTACATAATTTATGTACAGATTTATTATTTATATATATTATATTTAGATACTTATATCTTTTTTTACACAATATTAAAATAAATGATATAATAATAATTAATAGTGATCACTAGTTCGTAGTTAAAAAAATGTTAATTAAAATAAATGAATAAAAAAATAATTACTTAAAGAAAATTTAGGTTTTAAAAAAATTTGTTTGGTTTTAAAATTTGGTTTGATAATGTTTAGATGCAGCTTTGAGGGTGTCTAAAATATAATCTGCAAATTGTGTTAATTTGGAGCTTTCGGGCTTTATAGACATTAATTCTATTGCAAAAAAATTAGAAACATCTTCAGAGTCTAAACGATTTTTACGATATTTTAATTTTTAAGTGAGTTATGGGTATGTAAAGTATTCATATTAAGTATTCATATTAAGTATTCAACGAAAATTTGCTATGTCGTAGGTGTGTAAGACGGAGACAACACATCCGGGTGAGACGTCCTCTTAAGATGAAGTTTAAGATAAGTCAGTCGAAAGTTGATGTGTATACACTATACATATAGTTTTAATCTGTGGATTTTACCATCGGTGGAGTTTACGTGTTTTCAGGTCAAAAATACGTATCGGTGGAGTTTACATTTTTTTTTCAGGTAAAAAAAATGTATCGGTGGAATTTACATGTTATAAATCCAACCCTAAAATCGACTACCTGTAAATCGGTGGAGTTTACAATCGCCCCAAACTATGCCCCTTACTACTATAATATTAGGTATGTCGTACCAATGTATCATAATACTATATAATATATATATATATATATATATTATGTATTTCATCCGTGGACTGTGAACGTTGAGCGATATTTTTTCTGTGTAAATAAAAATAGTTAAGAATATTAAAGTCTAACACTTGGTTAGGTATATTAAAAAATGAGTGTTATATCTACCTATATATGCTAAAGATTACCAGATATTTAATTGTAATTATATAACCCAAACAATTAAGTTATACTCATTAATTTTGATATAATATTAATGTATATTATTAAGCTACATTCATTTTTATAATTAAAATAAATTTCTTTTTAATTGTTCCTATGTTATATTATTATATAA